AAATGATATTCATGATTTTAAGAACCTTTATGAGTTGTTCATAATTGTTCATGAATGGTTCTTAAAGGATTCTTAACAGGTTCATAAAAGTAGTTCATGAATAAAATTCAAGAAAACATTCATAATTCATAGTTCATGAACAAATGATGAACAAACATGAATATTGGTAATTTTCAGTTTAAAGAAAAAAACTTAGTTGTTCAAGGTAATGAATGTACATGAATTTTTATGAAGACTAAAAATGTAAAAATAATTGTCACAAACGATCGCCAGAAATCACTCATTACTCCCATAATACAACTTTTGCATGCAGATGCAATTGTTGAACAAGCCCCTGATTTAATTAATAACATGCTTTTGTTTTGATTTTGAAAGTATGGGATCAGAGCCGAGTAGGGGAACATAAGAGGTTAAAATCACTATTTTCTACTCTATGTAATTGATAACTTAGATTCTTCAGGATAATAAAACTCTGTTATGAACTGTCTAGAAGGGAGATTATAATTAAATTATGATCGTAATTTAAAAAGAACACTGCATCAATATTGACAGCATTTTATTCTCATATTGAATTACTAATGTTTCTTCATCATTTAAATTTGCCAGCTATATTAATATTGTGCTTTAAATTATCTCATTTTTCACGACACAACTTTGTTCGACCGAATTTTCTCTATTTGTCAAACTTTTAACAAGTTGTAAGAAAATGAAACAGACTTACAGTCTAGGAAAAATTTCATAATCTTCGTAAAAACGTATCGTAAATTTATTGACAACTAAAAAATGATATCTCTTGTCCGTACTGTACCGTACCATTCTTGGGTCGAAAAGCTTTATATTTTGATGCTGTTATAATGTCACATTTCTGTCCATCGTGTGTAAATGATACAGCACAGGCTGCATGGTTGTGAAGAAGCTACGACATGAACCACATTCGTATTTTGTAGTCTATTCTCCTATACACTTTCATAGCTCAGGGTACTCAGTTTGAGGGAGAGTGGTTCCAAGGGATATTTGTTGTCCTCTGATATGGAGGCGGCCATACTTGAATACGAAACTATGGCTCTACAGGTATAATGTAAAAAAAAAATCCAATTCAATAAATGATATAACTTATATTAATTTTAAAAAATTAATTTCTCTGAAAAATCATTCAGATAGTGTTTGTTATTTTTTGTTTAACAAAAATCTTGGCAATTCGAAACTATTTCTTAATTAGCTCTGCATGACACTTTTTAAAAGGCGCAAACTTTGAAACGCGCGAGACGTTGGAAAGTGAATCGGTAGAGTGGGAGGATTATTAGCGTAGTCATTCTTTGTCAGCCTTTGAAGAAAATAACAGAATACGAAGAAGGAATATCCATAGGATCAATTTACTTCATAACTGCAGATATTAGTGGTGAGTTACAAAAAAAGATGCAATCGCTGTATCTGTGAGATATTTGTCAAGATGTTACTGTCTGTTTGTAAGAGTTCAGTTATATCCTTTTTGATGAAAATTTTGTCAAACTTTGTTATGAGTAAGGATCCAACCAAATTACGTTACATTTAATAATTAAAGATTGAAACATTCATCCTGTTCACCTATAACATCTTGAACATGGCGGGCAAGGGAAACAGGCTAAACTCCCGCTCGGAATGCTTTAAAATATGGCAGTGCCTATGATGCAGAATTAAATGAAACAAATGTGCAAGTCTTAAGTTTTCACATTTATGAGCATTTTCAGAAAATCTTTGTTCTTGTAGGGAATAGAGAAGCAGTTCACAGATAATGTTGATGAGTTGAGATCAGAAGATTAAAAAACTCTGGCTACCAAAAAAAAAAAAGAATATAAAAAATCCAGGCTCTTGAAAAAAAAACAAAAGAAAGGAATGAAAATATGAATCGTAATCGATCAAAGGATCCAAGTGATGAAATTCTGAAAATTCCAGAGGGAAAGCCAATAAGATTTTTTTATTTGACCACCTCTGCTCAAAATCCTTGAAAGCCCTTTTAGCTGATGCCCTAATTGCTGAACACACTTTTCTGCCAGACAGTGAGACTTGGATTAAAAATCATTCCATTTTAGGCATACACTTTGAAATACGCTGAATAAGGAACCCACTCTCCTCTTGACCAAGTAAGGTTAAGGATTCTGCAAAGAGTCGCGTTTGAATTGAAATTTTTCATAATTTATTAGGAATGAACTACATAATTTATTTATTATCGTTATCACTTATCAGAGTTGTTTATTTGAACAAAGATTTTGTTACCATGATTGGAAAACAAAAATTCTGTGAAATCTTTCAAGATGCTATTAAAATATTTTCTTTAATTTACAGTTTTTCATTTTGCATAACTTATTAAATCTTTTTTTACTAAAAGCAAGAACATTCATGAATAGTTCATGAACATTCCTAAATAACTTTTACAAATTATTCATGAATAGTTCATGAAAATGCATTGAACCAGTTAATATCATTCATGAACTTTTCTTGAAAGTTCATGAATATAATTCATTAACTTTTCTTGAAAGTTCAAGAATTATTCTTGATCATTTTGCAGGCATTTAAAAAATCCAAGTTTGTTCATGAACAACAAATAATTCTTGAATATTCTTGAACTTGGTTTTCATGAATAAAATCCATGAAATCATGAGTGTCCAATTTTAACTTCATGGGATCTTCATGAACAATTCATGAGCTGATTCAAGAATATAATTCATGAACTTTTCTTAAAAGTTCAAGAATTATTCTTGATCATTTCGCAGGGGGAGTTTCAATTTTCATTGTTTCATGATTTGAACAAAATTGTATCTACACTACCTGATGATGCTTCCATATAAATATGACAAAATTAATTTGAATTAACTTGAATCTACACTAACTAAGGATGTTTAAATAATTCTTTGTGTTACTGTGGCTTTTTTCCCTATGAGTTTCAACTTTCATTGGGTCATGATTTGAACAAAATTGTATTCACACTACCTTATGATGCTTCCATATAAATATGACCAATGTGAATTAACTTGAATCTACTGAATCTACACCAACTAAGGAAAAAGATATTCCAATGTAAAAATTTGATCATCCATTGTGGCCTAACCCTATCCCTGGGGGTCATGATTTGAACAAAACTGAATCTACACTACCTGAGGATGCTTCCTCATAAATATGACCAATTATGGCTTTGTTGTTCTTGAGAAGATAATTTTTCAAGATTTTCCCCATATATACCTATGTAAAACTTTGATCATCAATTGAAGCCCCACCCTACCCCTGGGGATCACGAGTTGAACATACCTAAATATACCCTACTTGAGGATCTTCCACATTAGTTAACTTTCTGACCCAGTGGTTCTTGAATAAAAGACTTTTTAAAAATGACTTGAATCCCCTTTACCCAAGGATACTTTGTGGCAATTAAGTTTGATTGAAATTGCAGGGGTCTAGACTTTTTTTTAACTCACTTGCTCAAGGGCAAGTGATACAATAAATTTCACTTGCCCACCTAAAAAAATCACTTGCCCAACAAAAACATGAAACAATCAAGTTTTATAAAGATTTTATTGACATTATGTTTATATATCCATTTACAGGCTAACATTTTCCCCATGGTTTGAATATGTGAATATTTTTCCCCCAATTAAAATATTTATGCTATTTATGTCTCTGATATACTACAAATATTTATATTCTATATTGCATTGTATTTTTGATAAAGATATATTAATACACTGTATGCTATATTAAATTGTATTTTTAAGGTCAAAATTATAATTCAGTGGATTATAACATTTATTTCGTTATTTCTAACATTAATCATTTAAACTTCAAGAGTTATAGCCCTCAAATCACGTTCATATCAATTCCGTAAAATCGAAAATGTACCGTATTCAGTTTTTCATTTATACAGCAAACAAGCATTTCCGGTAGTGATTAGGTACATTAGATTTGATGGGAAACCCTTCATACCACTTCACACAACTCACTATCTAAGTAAATTAATTCAAATCAATTTTCAATCAAATCTCGTGAAAAGAACAACTTTCAACAACATATGAGTCTACCGTCATTTATTTTTTACTTTCCCGAGCGGGTGAGCATAACCCACAATCGTACTTTCCCGTACAAATTTTTACTCACCCCGGGCAATGGGAAAGCGTAATTCTAGACCCCTGAATTGGTCAAGTGATTCTTGAGAAATCAAAAATGTGAAAAGTTAACAGAGGGAATGATGCATGGATGTCAAACAGATGGATGCCGGACAAAATGTGATCAGAGAAGCTCACTTGTTTTTACCTTGGGGTGAGCTAAAAACAAAATAAGTCCAAAGATCATTTCTTATTGGGTAAATCTCATTCCTACCATTTTGATCTGGAATTGGATATTTTCACCCAGTTATTTTAAATCTTAGAAAAAAATCTATCCATAATTTTTTATTTCCATGTTATATCCATGTAACAAAATTAGAAAGTATCAATGATGAAATTGCAATTTAGATTTTTTTCATTGAAGTTTGATCACTTAATGCATCTAGGAAAAGTATTTGAATTTTTAAAAAAAAATTTCTTGGAGTTCAAAAGATTTCCAAAAAATATAGGTTTAAATGTAAATATTATTACAAAATTGTGACAGATCAACACATAAAAATTAAAGTAGATTTTGAAAATTTGCTATAAAAGATGTTAATTTAATTGTTTTTACTATTACCATTAATTTGCTATATTTGTTATATTTGTAACATTTTACAAGAAATTGTTAAGAATTTTGAGAGAATCGCTAAAACATTTGCTATACCCTCTTTCACTCTTTATGTGTTTGTACTAAATGAGTTATACTGTATTAATAAATATCATGAATAAAGACATTAAAAGATTCCTGAATGAAAAAAAATTATTTGACCCCCCTTGAAAAGCTAAAAAGTTTAGACAGGGTTTATATACATGTACAATGGCTAAACCTGCTTAAGGAATCAATTCAGAGGTATACATGGTGCATAAGAGTAGGGGGAGTCGTACCTGATAGAACCACTTCCACAAGGCACCCCTCCTTGACATCAGCTGGACTGGTGATGATTTGTAGAATATTGGAACTTGTGTTGTCATGTCTAAATAATAAAATTTTGTCCACTAGACTGTAGAAACCATGCTCTGGAAACTGAAATAAGAAATGAAAATAAATAATATTTATTAGTGTAGATTCCATGTTTCAAATTAAACAAAAATTGCAAAAACTGTTCTTTTTGAATACAAACATAGTCCACTGAAGAGTAACATCATATAGATATAATTCATGGATATTTTCTCAAATTTGGCTCTACTGGTCAAAATCAAATAGAGTTTATGTGATAGTTATGCATCAATTGTCTGACTGCTTGTCTGTAAACAATTTTTCAAAATGATCTCCTTCTGGTTTAATTTATTTTCTATAAAGCTTTATACATAAGTGTATTTCTAGTGCAGGAGTCTTTATTTAGGTATCAACACATTTGAACATGCTAAACTTGACTTTTGAATAACCTACATTAAAAATGGTTACACTTTGCCAAACATTATCCATGGTCTTGACTTTTGAAGGTTGGTGCTGGAGCTTTTATATTTCACAAGTATTTTCATTTGGTCAGCCCTTTCTTTGGTCACACCAACACTTTTTACCTTTTGACTTTGAACTTTCATTATGACTTAATTTTGAACAACTTGAGCTTTGACCATAACTTTTTGAATGGTGGGTACCCCATACTGTATCAATAACATGAGTTATTAATACTATTTATGTATTTTTCTAAAAACTGAAATTCCTCATTAAAAAGAACAAGTATTCCAATTCCTGTGACCAAGCACAAGATACCTCTTATCATATTGCTTTGCTCACCAGAAATTTTAAAAATAATGAGCTTTACAAAATGATACACCCCCCCTTCCAAGCTTCCATAAGAATATAAAAGCAGAGTCCATGTTATGCTAAGGGAAATCCAAATACGTGTCTTATCAGATTATTAAATAGAAGTACATCATGGAACTATACAATAAAGATTCTGTGAAATTCTCATTAAACTTTATTGAAAACTGCACAAAATTTGCTTTATTTTTCTTTTATAAGTTCTTAAAAAAAATCAATGAAATTCAGATAGATTTTCATCAAGCCATCAAAATGGGTCTTGGATAAATTGTTTTTTTTTTTTTTGGTGTATAAAAAAGTCAAAGGGGAATCAAATAAATTATATGAATTGATCTAGGATAAGTGATTTTTTTGTATCCAGTTGCATTGTAACTTTAATGGCCCTTGTTTAAAATATATTACAGTAACTATACAACTTCAAGCAAGTGTTGATTAAGGCAGTAATGATGAAATTGTTGAAGTGCATGTCTAGTGCAGCATAGTAGAAATAATAATATTAAGAGACCTTCAGTACAACTTCTCATATCTTTTGTTTTATTACGTGCTTTCAATTACCACTTAAAACCACCCTGCATATATATAGAGCATTCATCTGATATGGTAGGATTGCTTCAACAAGGAAACAATTTTGTTCTGTAGACAATTGCTAATAGTACAAGTATGACACTTGGAAGAAGCAATGTAAATATTAAGTATGTTTATATGTTAATGTGCAGTAAGAACTACAGGATTGGTATTTTATTTGCTGAACTAATGTTTAATTAAAAAAGAATATATTTGAATACATTCAAAACAACTTATTCATTGATATATACCAGTAATGCAAATTTATATTACATGCATATATATGACTTAAATAAAACAATTGTCTCTGTTTTTGTCTGTCATTCTCTGACATGAAAGTTTACATTCATTGTTATAATTTTGTGAGATACACAGATTCCATACGTTCTGATGCATGTATTGTCACTGTTACCTGTATCAGCTATAGGTGTTATGAACATCTACAGCAGTCTGAGATTACTTAGCTGTGACAATCAATCCAACACCCTCATCACAAAGCCCTACTAGCAGCACACTGAATTAAGTAACCCTTAATCATTGATTAAGGCCAAAGAAATCTGATAGGAAACATCTATCTCAATGTAATACTATCAAATGACGAAACTGCTAGATTTGATGAGACATGCAGTTACTATAGAAACTATTGGTTTTTACACTAAGTATGATGAATACAGTACAATATACCAGTAGACTAGCACAGAAAACTGTAAGAACACCATCTATTGATTGTCAGTAAGTCTTCAGTTCCACATACAATAGCAGGGTCTTTTCAGAAAGTCCGTTAATTACTTCAACATAAAGCCGCCTATGCTCATGACAGATCGTCATGCAATGCACATGTATTGATCTTCATTATATACTTAACATATGCCTTTTAAGACAAAGAGATATAATCTTAATTAGGAGCAAATGATAAACAGTATCTGTAAAAGGCTCTCTTCTTCTTGTTTGTAGTTAAATGATGTATAATACATCTGAATAACATCCCAGTTTAAAATTAGAATTAACCTGAGCAAACTAAAAAAAAATAAACTTCCTGCAAATTTTTAAAAGTGCTGCAATGTTTCTCTTTTAGAAAATTATAATGTACCAGACTCGTATAATACATATTATCCAAAAATAAAGGAAATTTATGACTGTAAAGATTCAATCACATTTTTATTAGTGAAGATTTAGAGAATTGTGGTGCCAGTTGTGATACCCACTTTCAAGGTTATACTTTAACTTTGGTGGTTGGGGATCAATAAACTAAGGCATTCTGAAATGATTTTTCTGTCCATTCTTGTTTGCTCATCATCCAGAAGAAGTTTATAATAATGTAGTATACTCGGAACTAACTGAAATTCAAGGAATCAATTCATTTTAAAAAACAAAATATGCTCTGTGTGTGTGGTGGGTGGTGGTGGTGGTGGTGGGAGGGGGGGGGGTTCAACCTCAAAAAACAAGTGTGAGTATTGCACAGACACTGTAATAGCCAGTTGTGTTCAAATTCTTATTTAACACCCATCATTAGTACAGAACATCATATGCATCTTCCGATTTTCTATCATCTGAACTGAATGTTCAAAAAGTTATTATTAAAAGGTGCTAATGTTAACAAGAGCAGTTAGTTGATTACTGTATATTGTGGTCCTCCACACAATATTCCAATTAAGAATTGTTATTGGATAGACTCAAACCAAAAAAAAATCTTAAGAAATATGCTTCTAGTGGATGAAAACATTACAAGACAATGCAGCACTTCAAATGACACCTCATATGTGTAGAAACAAAAACACACTGACAACTGGGCATGATATTTTACAAAAAAAGAATATATGTCTGCTAGAAATTATTCTATGAAGAATCATTACTAAAGAAAAGTTTTTTTTAATAAAGATTCTTCAGGCATAAGTGAGGAGGGGAATTTCATGTCTGGAACATATCTCTACACAAGTTATCTCAATAAGGAAGCATGCACAAGAGCCTCACACCATCTCATTAAATACAATACCTTCGTCAGTTGCAGCATGCAAGGTGACACTTTATTCATGCCATTCACCTTCAAACAAGCAGACATACATTAACATACACCATTAGCCAGTTTAACAACATGCAAAGTAATTCATGCAATATTACATGAAATTTACTGCATGCCCAGCTTTTTTGTAACCCTCTCCCAGACCCCCCCCCCCACCCACCCACCCCTCAAATTTAATTGAAGTGAAATGCAATGTGTTCACATTCTCAGTTGTCATTTAAACTTCTTCATTTTTTCCCTTTTTTTAAGTAAACTGTCGGACTTTTGACTAGGACAAAACAAAAAATATACATCACACCCTATTCACAAAACTGATGTGTTCTTTTCAATGCATCATTGTGCATCAAGGAAATAAAATACTTCAAAACAGGTATTCAAGCCTCTGGATAAATATGAAGGTTATAAGGAAGGAGTTACTTTATACAGAACTCTCAATGACATCATGTTTTGAATACTGTCATTGAATTTTACTTTTTATTAAGTAAGTGAATTTGTTTTTGAAAATAAAAGCTGCTTTATTTGTAAGGCCATCTTTAAAAAATTGTTTGCTTGCCCTCTTCTGACTGAGGATAAAATAATTGGTTGGTAGGTAGGACAATTATACAGTGTATTTTAAATTTGTTTCCAAAATAATTTACCAATTTAAGAGTACCGTACATGTATTAATGGAATAAGGAAATTTCAGAATGAAAAAAAAAAACTTCTTGAAGGTTCAAAAGAGTTTTAAAACAAGTACAGTTGATTGGGAGAGGGCAAACAAACAATTTTTTAAAGATGGCCTAAGCCTAAACATTAAATCAATACTGTAAAACGAGAATATATGGCATACTACTAATTTTAGCGCCTTTGGTGCAAGAGCCCCTGACCACTAAAATTTACTGTGCACTAACAGATTTCTAATGAATATTAATTTTTGTGTGTTTTCAAAGCTTTCACATATTAAGTACATGTAAACTGGAACGCGCGATTACGTAATCATGCCGAAGGGTCATTGGATTTTTATATACACACTATCACTGTAGGATCGATTGAGAAAGTTCTACCAAATTATAAATTAATTTAACTATTGTTTATTTTTACCCGATTATTCAATCCTAAACAAAAGCGTTGAATATAAAATGAAAATATGCATAAATCTTGTCAAAGACTGAACTTCCGCTAGACTATAAATTAGTGTAAGTGTGTGTGTTTTCTTTAAAACAAAAAAGTATCTCAAATCAAATTGAAAATTTGAGAAGTTGTAAACGTACACAGTCATATATTGGGAAAAAACCTTTATGTGGGCTAAAAAAAAAATTTCTAATTTTCCTCTTTACTGTATGGAACATAAACCCAGAATGTCTCCAGCCCTCCTTGTGATCAACTTTACCTTGACTTTTAACCCCAGAGTGTCTCCAGCCCTCCTTGTGATCAACTTTACCTTGACTTTTAACCCCAGAATGTCTCCAGCCCTCCTTGTGATCAACTTTACCTTGACCTTTAACCCCAGAATGTCTCCAGCCCACCTTGTGATCAACTTTACCTTGATCTATAGCTAAAGGGAGATTATCATGTTTGATACCATGGGACATCTTTATAAAAGATGTTCTCCATCAACCAGGAACTTAATTGTTTACGTGGTGCATGTGATGATGATAACAGGCCAAGAATTAATTAAACAAAGAAATATCCTTTT